ATCGGTGCTGGGGATATGACAAACTACAGGCACACAAGTGCCATGTTTGATATTTCAAGAGTGGTCAACTCTTACTTGATGTCGAACTAAAAGTCCATCTTATTTGACTGTCTTCTTGACTGTTTATTATTCAAACCCTTATCTACTCAAAGTCCTTGTCTGTTTTGCTCTTTAGTTGTTAGGATGATGCAGCCCTGGCTTTAGGAATTCTCTCCATACTGGTTCAACAAGTCCAGGCAGGTTCTGTTGCAAAGGCTTCTGGGCCATCATCCTCCAACCACTTAGCCACCTCTTCATCAAGCTTCTAACCATTCACCGTGGCCGGAATCAGTCACTCAGATGAAGTCAGCAAAGCCAGGACTGAGGAAAGCAGCAGGAGGCCCTCCTGAGGTAAAAATGGCAGAGGATAGCCATTGGGCAAAGTGACCACAGACTCTGAACACTCCTGCCCGGGGAGCACCTGGGTAGGCATGAGAAAACAGAGGACAGTGAAGTCCTCTTGGACTTGTTCTTCAAGCCACTGCCATCCGGTACAGAGCTGAGTCGACGTGCAGTGACATCACTGGAGTGAACGAAGGGAGACGCAGGAGCAATCCATAAAGAAATGTAGGGTGCTTGTAGCTCTCTGTAGCACCTTACGTCCAGCTGGGGAGGTGACAGATGCTAAGGTTAACATTAAACACAATATAAAGCAGCGTGGCGTTTGATTCTATGTCAGGCAATGAAATAGACTGGAAAATCGCGTAGAGAGAAGGGCGAGTGACAAAGGCTTGGGGATGGAGCTTGGAAGGCAATTTTGAGGGTTCAAAGACAGGCGCAGTGATGCAGTAGTTCAAACACACTCGGGGCTGCGCAGGATGAAGGACACTTTGCTGGGGGGCCATGTAAGGAGAAGGTCAATTGGTCACGAAGGTGGTAATTTGTTGGAAGACCTGGAGCTGGGCCGATAGCTTTGACCTTTATTCCTTCCTTCAGGCAGTTGTCGTAAATCTTCTGAGCCAGAGCGTGACATCATGAAGACAGGAGAGCAGAGAGCAGGGACTGGAGGCAGAGAAACCAGTTAGGAGGCTCCAGGGAACATTCTGAGATAAGGGCCAGGTGTGGGAGAGAGGAAGGATGGATTTGGGAGAAACCAGAAGAGTCACAGCCTTCTCCAACCTGTGGTGTGGACAGACCAGGAGGGAGTGAGGGAGAAACGGCTTGCACAGGAAGTGTGGGTTTGCTGATAGACTTGGTGGAGAGCGCAATGATTTGCATATCGTGGGGAGTGGACTCTCGATGATGCTCTTACACAAACTGGAGTTCCTCCAGGAGATAGGCAGTCCATTTAAACACAGGAGGGCAGAAAAATTCCCAATTTTTTCCCCCATGTCTCCCTTGTATGCACTCCAACAAAATACTTTTACAATTCATCAAGCCAGTTTTCTTAGCTGTAAAATGAGATTATATATGATCTATTTTTGGGGACTCCATGAGACTTAAATAATATCCAATATTCAAGCTTTGTGTTAGAGGTCTAGCACCACTGAGTATGTACTGGGCCTGTGTTCAAGTCCCCAGCACCAAAACTAAATAAGTAAATAAACTTTACATTTTCTTATTTAATCCTTAGAAAGCATATTCTGTACAAAAATTCCTAAACCTTTGGGTGTAGAGCAATACCTGTTTCATCCACTCATGATCCTCCACTCCACCCTGGCTCACTGCGTCCCGCTGGGTTTCCTGACCAGGGACGGTCCCAGGTGTGGTTGCCGAGGGTTAGGGGCCTGGCTGGGGGCTGGGCTCAGTGAGGATGTGGTGGCTGGACCTCCCCTCCCTCTACTTAACCCAGGGCCTATTTCTCCACCTGGTTTCTTCCCTCCAGGCCCATGTCTTCCCAAAGGGCAAAAGTGGATGCCCTTGCTCAGGTGGGTGGATGGAGGGTGGGGGTGGGCTGGCCGTCAGGCCCCAGCACAGGCTCTCCTGGTGGAGTTAAGTCACCGGCCCAGTCCAGATCCAGTGGAAGGGTGTGGATAAAAGGAACCTTGTCACAACTGACATTATCTCTAATTTGTAAATGATAAGCAGCGACTTAAGGAGGCTAAGTTACCTGCCCGACGCAGAAGGTGCAGCCAGACTGTTCAAAGCTTGTGTTTGAAGTGCTGGGTCACCAGATAAAATTCGTAAAGTGCTTCAGTTTAGAATCTTGTGTTGGGCAGAATAAAGGAGAAGGATGGAGGGGGCGAATTCAACTCTGATATATTGTAAGGACTTTTGTAAATGTCACAATGTAGCGGTATAATAATAATAAAAAAACAATCTTGTGAGGTGAGTACGGCCATTGTCCCTAACTCACCATGGAGGCGTAGAGAGCTTTTGCTCCAGAAACGACACGTTTGTCCCCTGCTCCTTGCTGCTCCTGTGTGTTAACACCAGGAACTGTTACTGAACTGGAACCGGCTATCGTTGGAAGGGCTGGAGTGGCAGCACATCGTACACAATCATTCACTATCACTTTTTTGTTTGTTTGTTTTGTTGTAAAGATAGGCTCTCACTGTGTTGCACAGGCTGGCCTCAAACTGCTGGGCTCAAGCAATCCTCCTGCCTCAGCTTCCCCAGCAGCTGGGACTGCAGGGGTGAGACACTGTGCCTGGCTGACTATCACAGCTTGTCGGCTGTTTGGGAACTGAGAGGTTTTTGGGTTATCATGTATTCAGTGCCATTTCCATTTCTGACATCCACTCCTCCTCCCACCACTGACTTTTTCTTTTCTTTTCTTGTCTTTCTTTCTTTTTTAAAATTATTATTGGGTTGGAGTGCCTTCAGTGGTAATGCACCTGCCTGGGAAGCAGCAGGCCCTGAGTTCAACTCCAGTGCCACTCCCCCCAATTATTATATTATTATTATATGAGACAGGGTCTCCCTAGGTAGGCCAGGCTGGACTTGAACTCAGGATCCATTTGCTTTGACTTCCTGCCACACCTGGCTTCCACCACTACCACCGGCTTCCAAAATCTGTTTCTTGCAGCTGGGCAAGGGATGAAGACAAGGTCTTCCCTGATTTTCACCTCCCTTCTGAGGCTGAGGCAGCACACACCTGCAGCAGTCTACCCTTTTTTAATCATCAGATCAGCCCTGCGGCTTCCACAATCTGTGGCCATTTGGCCCAGGCACTTCCTCTAGCTGCACAGCCAGTTCCCCAGTGCTGGGCCTGTGGGGGCTTCCAGGACCATGACCTGCAGCTGCTTCCCGCCTTCTGCCAGGGCTATGGGTGGAGAAGTTGGGGAAGTAAAGCCCGGGTGCAGAGGTCTCCACGTGCGGGCCTTGCTGGGCAGCCGCGATCTCCCCTGGTCCTCAAGGAGCCTGGCTCAGAGGGAGACCAGGGAGCCATTCTGTGACCTCAAAACTCTCCTGCCTTTTCTAGGGCAAAATGATGGACTGGCCTCTTTTTTTCTTTAATGCAGCATTTTAATTTGACTTGATTCTTCGTTCATAAACCGCGGAGGCTCGAGGCCTGGACTCGGTGCAGCAATGTTTTAGTCAACGACAGTTCGAGGCCGGTGCGGAGCGGAGCGCTTTCCTAACAAGGGTGGCCGGGTTCGGTGATTTAGTGGACTTCTGTCGGAATCAGTGGGCAGGGCCCGGCCTCCCCGGGACGTGTCACCCTTCCCGGAGGGAGGCCGAGGGGAACAAGGACAGAGGCGGGGGCGGCTGCGGGGCAGGGCCGCCTCCCCCTCCGCTCGGGGTCTCGCCTCGGGCCCCGGCGCACCGTCCACCCCCGGCCACCTGCTCGGCTCCGTCCCGGAGCGCGGCGGGGACATTCCGGTCCTCCCACTCCCCTCGCGGTGTCCGGGCTCGCAGCGCCCGGCTCTGACCCGGTCTCTTCTCAAGCCCTTGGCGGCCCGGGCTCCCGCCGAGCGGGTTGATGACTGACTCGAGGGTTGTTTACTAAGAGCCCATCATGGCTGGCGAGGCCGCAGTCCCGGCCGCAGAGCCACTTTCCGGGCCCGGCTGCAGACGAGCGGCTCCCGGCAGCGATCGCCTCCTCGCCAGACCAAATATGGTCACAAGCGCGCCGGCCCCGCGTGGAAAGGCCGGGCCGTGGGTGCCTCCCGGGCCGGGCCGCCATCCGGGGAACGGCCCCCAGGGGACCCCGGGACCCGCCGCCGCGCCCCGGCCGCCCTCGGGCTTGGTTTCGGTCCACAAGCCCTGGAGGAAACAGCTCGGGCACTTTCCCTTTGATCCCGCCCCAAGTCCCTGGTCAACTCAAAGGAATGCGATCCGGGGCCCGCGGGAGCCCCAGGACGGGGGCGGGGGCCGGCCGCGCTCACCCCCAGAGCAGCCCGGGTCCCCGGGGTCGCCCGGAGCGAAGGGGGGGCACGGAGGGCAGGAGGAGGGAGAGGAGGGCGAAGATGAGGGGGAAGGAAAGGCGAGGTGGGGGGAGGGGGAAAAAGGGAGGGGGAAAATGAAGGAGGAGGGGGGAGAGAGGGGAGGGGAGGAGGACGATGAAGATGGGGAGGGGAGGAGGAGGATGAAGAAGAGGGGAAGGGGAGAGGGAAGGAAAGGGGGGGAAGGGGTAAGAAGAGGAGGGGGAAGATGAAGATGGGGAGGGGGAAGAGAGGAAGGGGGAGGAGGATGAAGAACAGGGGAAGGGGAGGGGAGAAGGAAGGAGGAGGAGGATGAAGAGGGGAAGGGGAGAGGGAAGGAAAGGGGGGAAGGGGTAAGAAGAGGAGGGGGAAGATGAAGATGGGGAGGGGGAAAAGAGGGAGGGGGGAGGAGGAGGAGGATGAAGAATAGGGGGAGGGGAGGGAGGAGGGGCAGGGGCAGGGGCAAGAAGGGGAGAGGGAAGATGAAGATGGGCAGGGGAGGGAGGGGGAGGATGAAGACGAGGGAGGGGAGGAGGAAGGGGAGGGGCGCGTGGGCGGGGCCGCCCGGAGGCGCAGCTCATGCATAATTCATCGGCTCCACTTTCGGGCCCGCCCCTTTCCCGGGGCTGGGAGTTTGTTCCCAACTTTGTTTATGGGACAGTCCGGGAGCCGCGCCGTCTGCCTGTCGCGCGCTCCTCCCCGCGCAGCGCGAGCTCCCGAGGCCGCTCGGGGGATGTGAGCGCCGAGGCCCCTGCGCTGCGGGACACCGAGTCGGCGCGGGCTCCGCGCGCCCGGGACGCACCGGGATCCCGAGGCCCGACGGCGGCCGCGCGCCCAGGTACCCCGCGCCGCCCTCCCCGCGCCGCCGAGTCGGGGTCCCCAGGGCCCCGAGCGGCCTCGGCCTCGCGGCCCGCTCCGGGCGGCTCTTTCTTCGGGCAAGAAAGTTGCCCAACTCTGCAGGCCGCCAGGCCCGCTGCCCCGCCGGTGTCCCTGCCGACTCTCATTTTCTCTGTCCTCCCCCCTCTCCAGCCCCCGATTTGGAAGAAGCGGCCGACCCCATCGCCTGGCAGAAGATGAACCCGTCCTCCGCGCCCCCGCCGCTCCCGCCGCCCGGGCAGCAAGTGATCCACGTCACGCAGGACCTGGACACGGACCTCGAGGCCCTCTTCAACTCGGTCATGAACCCCAAGCCCAGCTCGTGGCGGAAGAAGATCCTGCCCGAGTCCTTCTTCAAGGAGCCGGACTCGGGCTCGCACTCGCGCCAGTCCAGCACCGACTCGTCGGGCGGCCACCCCGGGCCGCGGCTGCCCAGCGGTGCCCAGCACGTCCGCTCGCACTCGTCGCCCGCGTCCCTGCAGCTGGGCGCCGGCGCGGGCGCAGCGGGGAGCCCCGCGCAGCAGCACGCGCACCTCCGCCAGCAGTCCTACGACGTGACCGACGAGCTGCCGCTGCCCCCCGGCTGGGAGATGACCTTCACGGCCACCGGGCAGAGGTACTTCCTCAAGTAAGTCCGCGCTGAGCCCGGCCCGGGGGGACACAGGCGCGACGCCCGGGGCGCGCGCGTGAGTGTGCGTGAGAGAGAGGTGGTGCCTGACCCACCTAACGTGCTTCGTCCCCAAAGGTCTGAGAAGTGGACGGTGTGGAGTGAGGCTCTGGGAGTTGAACTTGAAAAGGATCAGGACCCCTCCCCCCCCCCCCCCCCCGCCGCAAAAAAAAAAAAGTTCTTCCATGATTCTGGATGTTCCAAGAGCTTCCGGACATGGGTACGCCTACACTTAGGGGAGAAAAAAGGTTTTGTGAGATTCCCATAAAACACATGGGTGACTTTGCCCAGAACCTGGACCTTCCTAGATACCAGACTCCCTTACTGATCACTGAAAGGCAGCCAGCTGAGAGTCGGGTTCATTGGGAGGTGACCCCAAGATAAAAGACGGGGACATGGGGCAGAAGAGGGGCTCTTGGTGGAGTAGGTGGTCTGTGCTCTTTAGCGTCTTGGGAAAAGCGAGCTGGAAGAGTGGACAGTGCCCTGTCGGCCTTACGGCTCCCAGCTGGGTGACGTAATGACCACACAGCGGTGATGTAATTAACCACTACCCAGGCAAGGAGTTGTGGGCTGGACCTACCAACTGTGTGGAAATTGGGTCAGGAGTTTTGTTGTGTTGTTCGTGGTAACCTACAGAAGCATCAGATCAGGTGTCTGCTCTGTCACCTTCTCTCCTGCAGGTCATTCCAGCTTTTTGATGTAGTGAATTTTACATTAGATTTGAGTTTTCAGTTTAGAGCATACAGGACAATTCTCAACTATTAGAAAAGATTGTTTTAATCGTGGCACTCTAAGATCATTGCATTCCTCTAGAGAAGCCAGGCTGGAACTTGAAATGTAGCCACTGAGGTCACAGGGTTCAAGCTTTCAGAGGCTCAGCTGGAAGCCCCGGCCCCTGGACCACCTGGTTCAGGACCTGGGCTGGGCAGCACTACCTACCACTCAGGTGGGCCCGTAGAAACTTGCCTCGGAGCTCATTTTAAAGCCTGATTCCTTTGGCAGAGTAGACTTAGTTGGAAAGTTATGCTCAGAAAGTTCGGAACGGTAAGACAGAATGTGCTACTTTCCAAGTTGAGTGAAGCACTTCTGCTGCTCAGGTCTAACGCTTCATCACTAGGAGAGGATCCAAGGATTGAACTCACAGTGATGGATGAGGTTTACTGGAGCCAAACCTTTGACTCACGTTGGTGATGAGTTCTTACTCCTTCCCCATCTCCAAGCTGTTGACATCTTGCGTAAGGAGTTTTGTTTTGTTTTTTTTTTGCTTCTGGGGTGGGTGTAATACTGAAATCCTGCAACAGGCTGGACAGTCCTTTCTTCCACCGCTGGTGTTTGCTGCATGGTTGAGTAACACTGTGGGCACTTCCTTACAGCTTAGATTTCTAAATGGCAGCTGGAAGTCAGGCACATGAGTCAAGGTCATATAGTATGACCTTTTTCTAAAGGTGATGGCGTTAGGTGACATTAGTCCAAACTATTGTGTAAGTATTGTGTGTTAAGTTCACTTATTTAGGTAAGTGCAGTTTTGCATAGACCATGGCTTTTGTGAAAATGGACTTAACAATAAGTATAAATAGAGACTGTCTAATTTTCAAAAAATGAGATTCCTTTTTAGTCTCAGATGACTTTAAACTGTTTGTGAACACACATATGTACGGTATATGACCAAATATATGTAATTATTAAAATATGAGGCAGGAGCTGAGCTTGCCTAATATCTGTGGAAAACTAGACAAACAAGACCTCAAACAAAAACATACTCCCTTTATGCATGTGTTTCAAATGACTAGAGTGGCTCAGAACTGTTTGTGATTAGGGGAAAATGGCAGCCAGCCGTGGGTTTAGAGAAAGTCTCTGTGGTCCATCTCCGTCTGTCCCTTCCAGCCACAACCACACCCCAACCCAGAACAAGGCATGTTCATGTCACTTTGCAGACCCCATGGGGGCTGGCCCCCTGTGAGGTGATCTCTGGACATTTTTGGCCAAGGACTAAGAATTAAAGAAGTGAAGTCACTGTGACTTTTGTCTTTTAGAGTAAGCAGTCTACCAAGAGTTTGCCGAGTTTCTTTCAGAGCTTAAAGTTCAGTTAAGGTAATTGTTACACAGCTCCCAAATGCGGGTGCTTTGTGGTGGAAGGAGAAGCTTCCACCACAAATGGCGGCCCTTGGCCCTGACTTAATTTTCTTGTAGCCTCTGCAGTCATTGGGTCTGTCATCTGTGAGCTGGGGCTCAGAGAAGAACCCCATTCTTGACAATGTTGGGAGCTGAGAGTATAGAATTCAGAAGTCAAATGATTTTAGAATTGACAAGGATCAATTTTTTTTTTTTTTAAATTTTTTTCACCAGGAAAGAAAGAGGCCAGGGGAGGGTGAAGACTTGACCTTGGGAAGGAAAGCCATGTGGTTATTGAGCAGTGGACCCTGAACTGGACCTCTGTATTTTTCCAGAGTAGGTCCCCTCTCCCACTTCGCCTGTGTCACTTCCCACCTGAGCAGTGACCTTTAGGGGAAGTGGGCCTGGGCAGCTGAGAAGCTTTAAACAATCTTCTATGATTTCCCAGGTGGGCGGTTCCTGTATAGATGATGTCATCACTTCCTGGTGCCCCCTCACTGTGACCTTTCCTGCTCCTTCTCACCTTTTCTGTGGTGTTCATGCATTCAAACCCATCTCAGAAAGCCGGCATTATTCCTCTTGCCTCCAAAAGCTCCCGAGCCAGGTGGGGCTGAGTCCCTGGGCCTTGACTTGAATTTTTTAGTAAATAATTTTGGGGTTCTGCGTTTGGTGAAATTTGTGGGAAGAAATTCGTTTTTGGCAGGGCGATCTGCGCAGCACAGATAGACTTGTGAGGATCTGGGGAAGGACTTCCTTCCCCAGGGCTCACAGGGATCTTAACTGTTTCTGCATTTAATTCTCTCTCTCGTTACCTTCTTAACCCCCTCTTTAAGATTTACCACCTTAAAACTTCGGGTATGAAAGGGAGGTTGTCTTTCCTTAAGCTGGCTTTCTATTTCCTTTCCCAAGTTTGTTGTTGAAATTATTTTCAGTTGGTCTGTTAGGCTACCTTTGTGGCTTTTTTTTCTTGGTGGCACTGGGATGCGAAGTAGGATCTCAGCACTTGCTAGACAGGCACTCTGCTACTTGATCCTCTCCGCCAGCCCACAGTGTCTCTGTCTTAATTAGCGGACGTTCGCTGTGGAAGTGGTCACCCTGTGGTGTCTCACACGTGCATAAATTCATTGATCAGATTAACCCTCTTCCCCCTCCATTTTTCAGCAGCTTTCAGTGGGTTGCCTTGTGCCACCTTCATTCATGGACACAGTGTCTTTTGCTATTATTTATTCTTTCCTTCGTCCCCACAGGCAGTCACTGGATCACAGTCACGCTTTTGTATGTGTGGATGCATGTATGTGTGTGTGTGTGTGTGCGCATGTACCTACACGTATGTATTTTTTAGGTCTAGAGTCTGCATATGAGAGAGACCTGTGACCTTTGTCCTTCTGAAACTGGCTTACTTCTTAACATGATGACCTCTAGCTCCAGTTCCTGATGGTGTTTCTTGACTGCCCGTTTGGTAGTGAGTTGACGTTTGATTGCTTCTACAGTTCAGTGTTGACGTTGACCTTGACATTGCCAAAACCCTGTGCTTTGTCCAAAGCTGACCTTCGTGTTCGTAAATGGCTCTCAGAGTTGAGAGTCCACAGCCAGCACTCGTGTGGTTACGACTCAGGGGATGATGGGTCCTCAGGACGGATGGTTCGTTTCTGTGTGGGTTAGTTAGGATTGGACTCGGAGGTTTGTACTTTGAGTCTGGTTTAGGACTCCTGGGCCAATCCAAAGAGGATGTTCGCCATGGGTTCTCCCTGCTCTTCATCAGTTGTTTAAATTTGTATCACCTTTCAGTTTCTTCATATTTAAAAAAATTTTTTCTTTGTATTTGGGCCATAATTTTCTTAAGTTATTATCATTCTTATTATTTGGTGGTTCTGGGGTTTGAACTCAGGGCCTCACACTTGCTAGGTAGATGTTGTACCACTTGAGCCACTCACCAGCCGGTTTCGTGTTCAGTCTCGTGAACTATCTGCCCAGGCTGGCTTCAGGCCTCGATCCTCCTGGTCTCCACCTCCTGAGTTGCCAGGATTACAGGCGTGAGCCATGGCGCCCAGCTGAATAATTTTTGCAGTATTCCCCGTTGCCTTTTAATGTATTTGTGTATCATTTGCCTTCTTCTAGAAGTGCTTTTTCATTTCCTTCTTTTTTTGGGTTTTGTCCTCATTTTGCTGTGGCGCCTGCTTGAGTAACTCCTTAAGAAATGGTTTGTGGGGATAAAATTTTAAACCCTTTTCTATCTCAATATGTTTAAAGTTGTTCTAAATTTGTTTTTTTAAAATTTGTTTTATTTTATTTTTGAGACAGGCTCTCACTATGTAGCCCAGGCTGACCTGGAACTTGTTATGTAGCCCAGGCTGGGATTACAGATGTGAGCTAGCCTGCCCAGCTTATGTGTTTTTGCTTTTTGTTTTTTTTTTTTTTTTAATGAGGGACTGGGGTTTGAACTCAGGGCCTTCACCTTGAGCCACTCTGCCAGCCCTTTTTTCGTGATGAGTTTTTTCAAGACAGGGTCTTGTGAACCATTTGCCTGGGCTGGTCTTGACCCTTGATCCTCCTCCTGCCTCTTGAAAGCAGGAGCCACCAGTGCCCAGTGCATTTATTTTCTCCATTCTGTTTTTGGCAGTACTGGGGTTGAACTCACGCTTTCTGCTTGCCAAGCAGGCACTCCACCACTCGAGCCACTCCAGCAGTTCATATTTATTTTCTTTAAAAGAAGTTTCTAATTCTTTTTCTGTGCATTTTTGAATGGCAATATTAAGTACGTCTTTTTTTCTCGAAGGCCTCGTGAGTAGACTAAGGACAGTGGTTCCTGTCTCCTGGCGGTGTGGAGGGTTAGGTAACACATTTAGAGCAGCGGTACAAAGCAAACCTTCAACAAGTTCCTTCTTGCCTCCCCTTTCCTCTCTCCC